CACTCCTGTCCATCACCAATTCCCAGAGTTTATTTAAACTCATGTCCATCGAGTCAGTGATGCCATCCAGCCATCTCATCCTCTGTCGTCCCCTTCTCCTCCTGCCCCCAATCCCTCCCACCATCAGGGTCTTTTCCAATGAGTTAGCTCTTTGCATCAGGTGGCCAAAGTATTGGAGTTTCAGCTTCAACATCAGTCCTTCCAATGAACACCCAGGACTGATCTCCTTTAGGATGGACTGTTTAGATCTCCTTGCAGTCCAAGGGACTCTCAAGAGTCTTCTCCAACACCACAGTTCAAAAGCATCAATTCTCTGGCACTCAGCTTTCTTCACAGTCCAACTCTCACATCCATACATGACTACTGGAAAAACCATAGCCTTGACTACACAGACCTTTGTTCTACCACATCTCAAATCAACTCATGTAACATTATAAAACCTAACAAATTTAGAAAAACTTGAAATGTTTACAGTTTAATCATTTATTCTGTCATATTGAGGGTATACACCCTATGCCATTTTAATTGATTGAACTCTTAGTGATTTATGTAATTATGATAACTCTGTGTCTAGAGGATGTCAAAGTTACATGAGATTTCAGCTTTTAAATGCAGAGTAAATCATTACCTCAATTTGCCATTTAGCAAACATCATTTAAGGGTTTATGACACCCTTGTGCCAGAATTATGGAAAACAAAAAAATGGAAGGAGATAACTAGACTGATAAATAACTGTAGCAATTAAGACTACATGTGCTCTAAAAGTACATGTAAAAAGAGGATTTTTGAAGGCATAAAAGAGGAAATACCTTCTTTAATGGGGATGAGAGAGAAGGATTGATGTTGGGAAGGAGTTCTTAATTTGTCTTATTATAGATTCTCAATAAAGTATTTTAAGTTCTGGCATCTAAAATATTGAACACTTAGTAAGTTTAGAAGTCAAGAATCAAAATGTTCTTCCTGTTTGTAATTACTCTTGGAGAAGGAGAGGGAAAGGGAAAGGAGAGGGAAAGAGAGCAATAAGGGTAAAGGGGCAGGGGAAAGAAAGGAAGGAAAAATGAGAGAGAGAAAAACGTATAGTTATTAGACCCCTGATGTTTCCTGTGTTATACAAAATTTACTCAAGTAGTTGGGGTAGAAGGGTCAGAAAAGGGAGTGGGTATTTACTGAGTGCCTTCCAGTAGTCTGTTTGGTATAAGTTCAGCTACAAGGATATATTGAACAACATGGGGAATATAGCCAATGTTTGATAATAATTGTTAATGGAGTGTAACTTGTAAAATTATATAAAAAATAAAACTTTAAATGTATTTATTGAGTATCTCTTTATAAGGTGTCAGGTGTGGAAAGATTAATAGAAAAAAATGTTTATGGGTTGTGACATGTAAGTACCCAAATACAAGAATACTTATCTGAGGCTACTTTAAATGAAAGTTGTGATCCACAGTAAAAAGTTGCTTGTGATAGAAACATTTTACTACAGAGGAATTAACAGAAAGAAATGTATTCAGAGGAAATTTTGTCTGTTTAGTGTTTGGTGATTGGCAACAGAACTTTAAAAAACAGAATAGGAGGTACTACTGTCATCTGCATACTAATGAGTATTAGTATCTGCAATACTAATGAGTATTAGTACCTCTGAATATGACTGTGACTGATAGTTAATATGACGGGACTTTTAGCTTTACTGCTTACTGACTAGGTTTTATTTTGCTTTTAATTTTGACAGAGGAGAGAAAGAAAGAGCCAACTTATAGGGAAATGACACCTTAAGGTGTTGGCCAGAGTGGTCATTGAAGGCCTCAAGCCAACGAACCAGTGTCACCAGTTGTGGCTCTTAGCTTGAATAAGTGGGAAGGTGCCTGAAGGTCATTACATTTTTTGAAGAAACCCATGGTCTATTTCTATATTAAACCATAAATCACTTGGTATAAATCCTTGGCTAAATCAAATAACATATTAGATTCTACAGACAAGTAACAGACTTCCCTTGTGGCTCAGATGGTAGAGAATCTGCCTGCCATGAGGAAGACCTGGGTTTGATCCCTGAGTCAGGAAGATCCCCTGGAGAACGGAATGGCCGTCCACTCCAGCACTCTTGCCTAGAGAATTCCACCAACGAAGGAGCGTGGAGGGCTACAGTCCATGGGGTTACAGAGAGCCGGACAGGACTGAGTGACTGCACTTCCACTTTCTTTTCATAGACAAGTAACAGGTGAATTTTTTTTAAAAAACCAGGAAACTTTTAAGAGAATTCTTTTCTTTATTGTCCATTGGGAAATATTTGCTGTCATCAGAAGAGATTTTGGCGAGAACATAAAGACTAAGTAGGTCTGCTAGCACTGAGTAAAATTAACAGAACAGTATGGATCAGTAAGAATGATTAAATTAATTGAGAAGACAAAGTGACTTTTTGAAAATGTGCCTAATAGATGTTTCATTTATATTGAGGTCTATGATTTCTTATTGTACAAGTTACATTGATTTTCTTAGCTGAATGGCCACTAATGTATTGAAGGATTTAAACAGATTCCTATGTTTGAGAGCAATAATTTATTTACACCTTAGATTTCTATAGTTGTCTACCTTAATTTAGACAGATTAGATGAGAGACAAGTCAAGTATTATACATTTCTTCAAGAAAAAGACCCAATAAGCATGGCTGGTAAGAGAGAAGATACTGGTGGATAACCATGTCGTCTGTTTTTAAATCCAGCTGATTTTTTTTTCTGTTTTATCATGCTGTTGTATATCTTATGATTCATTACTATTTAGATATTGAATGAAAAGTGTCTTCCTAAAAGTAAAAGGATTTCTTTTTTTAATTAAAAAAAAATTATTTTTGATTTTTTTTTTTTTTAGTTTCACTGGAGTAAGAACACTAAACATGAGAACCACTGTCTTAAAAAATTTAAAGTATATAATACAGTATTGTTCAGTATAGGCATAATGTTATATAGCAGATCTCATTTATCTTGCATAACTAACATTTTATACCTGTTGTCTAGCAATTCCTCATTTCCCTTCCCCCCAACCTCTGGCAACCATCATTCTACTGTTGCTTCTAGGATTTTTTACTACTTTAGATACCTCATCTAAGTGAGATGATGCAGTTTCTGTTTTTTTGTGACTGACTTATTTCATTTAGCATGTTCTCATGTTTCATCCCTGTTGTTGCATGTTGCAGATATCTACCTTTGTTATAATATTATAAGTAATTTATAAATAAGCATAATATAAGCAAAATAATTTAAATATTAAAAAAAGTTTAAACTGTACAACAGTTAGCAGGAAAAAAATGCATTCTGTGTAAACACTCATGACCTCTGTGACAAGGTTATTATAATTATTGATGGTAGCTCCTGAATCACAGACCATCCAGCTCATGTTGGACAAGACATTCAATTTATCTCTATCCAGAGAAGTAGATGTCTTGCAAACTAGCACAGCAACACGTACCATATTTTTTTCAATAAAAATATACTAATAATTTCAGGGGGAAAAGAACAACACTGCCATAGTCAAAGTATACATTGATACACAGATACACATATCTCCAACATGAAATGAAATGTGACTTGAAATCAGTTAAATATTATTTCTTTACATTTCAGTCATTTAATGTGTTTTTTTAATTATTATTTACAGGGACTTGATCTTTTAAATAAGAAGGGACAGATACTTCCCAATATTAGAAGAGTTTTGTTTCATACCTAAAACAATAAAGGAAAGGACACTGGGATAGACATCCCTGGAGACAGCAAATGCAGACAGAAGGTCCACCATAGGCAGGGTGAGACAAGGAGATGATGGCCATAGGCTGTGTACAGGGATTGGGCGGAAGCAGGATTTTGGAAAGCTTTAAACTTAGAGCAGATCGTACTGTCCATGACAGACAAAAGTACTCAGATGGTTATATGAGAGTAAAACTGTCAAAGTAATGCAAAAAAGGGGCAAACATTTTTTTAATTAAAAATCCAGCTGAGTTTGAAAGAGTAAGCAAAATTTTTTCATGTCTACACTCTCAGTCCTCTGTGCATGTGAAAATGTATTTATTATTTTCTAAATGAATTTAATGAGTTCCAGATTGTACAGGATGTCATAATAGAAACAGGATTATACAAGATAATAAGGAGTTTTTTTCTCTAAATGAGTTTTACCTAGACTCCCTGTGTCGTAGTTTTGATCTTAACTGTGTTTCATGTACCACATTGAAGGAGGTTACATAAAGGGTAAGATAACAGAAACTTAATCAGGAAACAGGCTTTCTTATTGCTGTATTTTATTATATACTCTTGCCATATTCTTTAGTCTAATTCTTGAAAATAATAAAAGATGTGTCATTTTAAAATAAGGACAATTGAAACCACATTGCATTATAATTGTGCATCTTTCTTCTGAGCCATCCCAAACATTTCACATCAATTGATCTTCAGAACAAACTTGTGGATTATTTAAGGATTATTGGTAGGCAATATAAACTTCCTGAACTCGTAACTTCTGTAAAATACTAGACAAATATTATTGGTTGGTGAATTTAATTTTAAAGATGAAAAACAAAGAGGCAAAATTAAGTTATGAGAGAAAAACTTGTGTTTTCAAAAATGCAATCGAATTACTTTTTCTGCTGGAAAATAATACAGTGTAAACTGGCACAATTAGATCACAGTTTTACAATGAAAAAAATGTCTTGGAAAGTATTATCATGGCATATAAAGATGTATAGTTACACTGCACGTATGACTGATTTTGTTAAGGTAATGCTATTTTCTGGTGGACAAATCTCTGTATATGCCTTATATAACCCCTAACAAAATGACTAGTCTGTTTAGGTAGACATTTGAGTTCTGAAACCTTGGCATTTCTGCCATCCTTGATAAAATTGGAAAAGATTTTCAACTCAGCAACAAGTCCATTTCCTGAATTTCCAAATAAACACTCCGGAAAGTTGAGTTTACTACTCTAACATTTTCTCATTTCATTTTCTCATCACTGGTCAGATAATCACCATGGCCACAGCTTTGAAGAAAGAATCATATATGGAGTAGAAAATAGCAGCACCTTCCTAGAATGCAGTCCGAAATCACAGCGAGCTCTGGTCTATTGGCAATTCCAGAGGCGAAATGAAGAGCGAAAAGAAGAGGTATAGGAAAGAAACTGGATTCACTCTATCTAACATATTTGTTAAGTGACCCCAGCGTGGTTGACTTGAGTGAGGGAAAAAGAAGTACTGTGAATATTTATTCTTTTCTTAACCTACCAGGACCTATTCATTAAATAAGTATTAATTGAAGATGATTTTATGGCAGGCTTTGTGCTCAGAGTTAAAGGAACAAAGTTGAACTATAAGAATTTTGTCCTAGAAGCTGTTTGCGGTGGTGGGGGTGGGGGAGACCTTACATTTTTGTAAGGTCTACATTTTTGTTTTGTTTTTTTTTTTCTGCCTGGAGTTATCTATTATGTTATATTCATTTGTATACAAAAAAAAAGAAAAGAAAAATCCTCCTAACTAATTCTAACTCTTGTTCAATTGATTCTGCTATCCAAACATGTTTCCCTTTCTTCATTAACTTCTTCCTCAAATGGGAAGAGGCATTTAAGAGAAAGGAGTAGTAGATTCAGGAGGAAAGATCTTAGGTCCCAGTATTGAACTCTGATGTGAATTATGCAAGTAGTTTCATACAAATCTTCCTCCTCAATGAATCCATTAATTCCTCTGTAAAATTAAAAAATTATACATAGAAAATCTCAGTGAATACTCTGAGACTTTTAAACTTTTTTTAAAGCCTTAAATAAGGGTAATACATACAATGTACATGATTTATGAATGTACATTTTGCAGACAATTTTACATAATCCGAATGTAGAAGTGAAAGTATCCCATTATCTCTTTTGACAGTTGAAGCAGTCTTTAAACATGTAATCATGTCTTATAAATGTTAAGGTTGATTTTATATGTTACCAGCTTAGGCTTTCAGAGATCTCTTTTGTAAACTTCATTCAGAGTAAAAGTGCCGTTAGACATATTAAACAACATGTCTTCATGTCTCATCTAAGACAGGAAATTAAATAAATAAGTAAGCATGTAATCCCATAATTTTTCTGCTTGCTCAACTCTGAATTATTATAAATTCATTCTAATGCTGCACTGTTTTCTAGTATTATGTTTCTATATTTCCAATTCCAACACTCACTTTCTCCTATATTTATACACTTTATTTCAAAGTTTTAAAATAGAATATTTATTTGTCCTTTCATCCTCTTAAATTATTTTAAATTATTATGAGAAATTTTATTAAGACAATAGACAACCAGTATTTTGCAATACATCTTAAAGACAGGAGAGATTTATAACTCCTTTCTCTGATGGGGAAATGATATCATTTCTCTTAAACTAGAACTTTTACTATTAAAATGTGCCTCAGTATACAATACAGATTTTTACTGAGACAGAGTTTTGGAGCTTATATTTCTTGTAAATATATATGATTTCACTAATTATTTTCTTTTGCTAGATCAGAGTGGATGATCATATCATCAGAACAGAACAAGGCCTTCTACTGCGTAGTCTACAGCGGAAGGATTCAGGCAATTACCTCTGTCATGCGGTGGAACACGGATTCATGCAAACTCTTCTTAAAGTGACCCTAGAAGTCATTGACACAGAACATTTGGAAGAACTTCTTCATAAAGACGATGATGGAGATGGGTCTAAGACCAAAGAAACGTCCAACAGCATGACGCCTAGTCAGAAGGTCTGGTACAGAGACTTCATGCAGCTCATCAATCATCCCAACCTGAACACAATGGATGAGTTCTGTGAACAAGTTTGGAAAAGGGACCGAAAACAGCGTAGGCAAAGGCCAGGACATACCCAAGGGAACAGTAACAAATGGAAGCACTTACAGGAAAATAAGAAAGGCAGAAACAGGAGGACCCACGAATTTGAGAGGGCACCCAGGAGTGTCTGAGCTGCATTACCTCTAGAAACCTCAAACAAGTAGAAACTTGCCTAGACAATAACTGGAAAAATTGCAATATACATGAACTTTTTCATGGCATTATGTGGATGTTTACAATGGTGGAAAATGCAACTTAGTTCCACCAATTATAAATTAAGTCCATGAGTAATGTTACTAACAGGCATTCTTCCGAATACCAACACCTATTAATAGAGGTCAGATGAACACAGATGTTCACACTAGTGACTTAATGTTTCCTATGAGATTTCACTATACAGGTTTCACTTTCTTCTTTGCCTGAGAAATAAAAATGTCATTTGCCATAGTGCCATCTAAAGAATAAAAATGGCATCAGCAAAGCCATTTTATTGAACTAGAAGTTTAAGATAAACTGCATGGATTTACTAAGCTGATGAATATTCCAAAACATTGTTGGATTCAAGGATATCTTTTGGCTACCAACACTCATGTTTATGTGTACTGGAGGAGTAAAATGATACTGAATGAAATGGTCTGTGGAAATTAAAAAAAAAAAAAACATAAACCATTCATCATCCAGAAGAAAAATGGAATACACTGATCTACTACTGATGTCTTTCTTCCAGCTTTGATCTAAAGATGTATTTTATTAAAACTATAATTTAAATGTACCATGACAAATATGCAGAAAAAATTAGCTCTTTTCTAAGCTAGAGTAAGTTTTTGTCTTACAGTTATTGTGGTATATAGTTTTTGTTTTTAAAAAACTCCAGTTGTGTGCTGCTTTTTAAAAACGTTTTCAGTTTTGCAAGAATAACCAATATTGTCCTAAATCATATATACATCATTAACAACTAATTCCTAAAATCTGGATATAAAGTATGCTTTATTGCTCTGAGGAATTAAGAAAATAACACCTCCCTTTCTTCAAATATTACCTAAATTAATTAGAAACTGCATAAATATTCCAGAGCATTTATCTGGAAAGAAAAAAAAAATCAATTTGCAAGTGCGTTTTGTTGTACCTAATGAATCAACAAAGAGAAAAAGGATTGTATATTTCATAAAAATAGTAAGCATTGGTTTAATTTAATGTTAATAGAAAATGTCTTAACTCTTCACTTGAATCCTGTCTGATATTTGAGATATAAAAACTCTCTCTTGGCTGCATTAGGATTTTTATCTGTGTGACTTAATTTTTTTGAGAAGAGGGAGATCAAAGATATTCAGAACAGCATCCTAAACGTGAATTTCCCAGCTCTGTTCACATTTTTATCAGCTGTTTCGTATCTCACCTTAAGAGAGTTATCTGTCTAAAGAACTCATGATTCCTTTCAAGTCAGTGGGAGTGACTTTTATACAAACTATTTTCCAGGACAAAACCCACATCTTAAAACATGTAAAAGCTCTTTGTCTTCTGCAACAACTTATAAAATAAGATAATCATTAATTAAGGGCTTGCCTGCTTCATTGTCCTAAGATGATTCCTTAAGAATAATTGACTTCAAGATGTAAAAAACTTCAGCATTGCAAATGCAGTTTCTTTTGTGCTGCACTCATTTTTCCAAGAATTCCTCTCTGGGTCCTTCATCATGCACAGAAATGCAAAGGAAACATATTATTGCTAATTAATGAAAGCAGCATTGAAATTCTGACTATAGCTGTCTTGGGATTCTAAATAACTCAGAATTAATTTCTTACCTCAGACTACAGTGACTTTTCAAAAAATCCTCTTTATCAGCTGAAATATTTCACAGATGAAAGCTCATGTTTCAACTTTACTGATTACTTTGAATAAATAATTTTTTGATGTTTGTTTCAAATGGGAGCCTAGAAGTACCCTATATTCAATTTTAGGCTCCATTGATTAATACAGTGTTACTTTTAGAAGTACATCGTCAAGTGGTAGCTGAATTTTAAATTATTTGAAGAACAGACTCCCATAGAGAAAAAAAAGTGTTTGAGATATAAATCAGAGAACAAAGAGTGCTCCAAAAATAGGTCATTTTAAAATGTGTCTTAACTGTACTGCAATTCAGTATTGCATTTTATTCTAAATTTGCAGCTGAAACACATTTATTGGTAATAACAAAAGTATCTTATTTCTTATTAGTCCTCAAAAATAAAGGATTTGAAAGGATAGAGATTATGTAACTTTAGGAATGTCTTCCAATATCTGAATGCATTTTGTTTAGCACTATGAAATACCCATAGAAAGAAAGTCTAGATTTCAGTTAAAAGAAACAAACAAATCCACCAGCATGTCTTAATAAATCATCAGGTCTACATTTTTGAAGAAAATTATAGATGTAATTTACAGATAAATAACTCTTATTCCAGTCTTAATCTTCTGTCAGTGTGAGCGGGGCCATTTGCACAAAAAATAATTAATATCCCATTTATTCAGTTTTAATAGACTTTGGCTCATTCTTCTATCAACAGAGTTGAAAGCTTTTTAAGAGACTCATGTGACCTTGAACAGATTATGACAACAATCTTAAAATAGGAAAAAGTACATAACAGAAGAGAAATTATGGCCCACTTGAAATCAAATGTAAGATGTAAATGCATGTAAATGCACACTTAATGCTACTTTTTATGTATTATTTAGTGATTTTTCAATGGTATGTGTTTAATATTTTTGCTACCTACACATTAGGGAAAAGAGATGTAAATAATTTTGAAAAGAAGAGGAAGGACAGTGTAAAATGCAGCTTTTTGTAGGTACCCCATTTCAGTGTGTTCAACATCATCTTAAAATGCAAGATTTTCCCACATAGGTGACAAAGTGGCTCATGTGCTATTTAAGGGAAGAAGCTGTGTGCCCATTCAATAAGCATGTTTTTTGCCAGGTAGTAAATATGTTCCATATCTGTATTTATCATTGGATTTCAGATGGGAACTAGAAAACTGGAGAGAAAAATGTAATGAAACTGCTGCTGTAATTACTTCTGTTAGCATGTATTCAGTTGCTAAATACACATTTCTTCAAAATATTTGAATTCAGATGTCTTTACTATCCCATGTAGCATATAGTGTCAAGGAACATAAGAGTAGAAAAGGTTGAGAACTAGAGTCAAGTTGCTAGCATATTTCTTCATTGTAGTCATCTATAAGCTGAGCTCTATACTTCTGGTGATAAGTGTGAATGTTACGCCTTTAAATTAAATATTGTTATTTTATGCCATACTTACAAAGCAAATATGAGGAGGAAATTCTATCGTGTGTCATTATCATAGTCTGTTTCATTCAGGATCTGCAAAGGTGCCTGAAAATTGTTATTGAGGCTGCCTTTCCTGAAGGTCATAAGCAAGCGTTTTATTAATTTATTAATATGGAGTAATTAGTATAACATTTTGAAATCTTTGTTTTAAGAATTCATTTTTAAACACAACTTTCTTTCACTTTAATGGAAATCTGTCCAGTTTCATGGTTTCAAATACACACTTAACAAATAGGATTCAACATTAATGTTGTAGTCTATTAGAGATAAACGAGCCTAATGCCAAAGACATTCATGCTTTATATTTTAACTTTGTAATAATTATAAAGTCAGTGTTAATGTTTGCAAAATACATAATCCCATCAATAAGAAAGCATTTTTCAAAAATCTGCAGAACCTCTAAATTTGACTTCTAACAGTTTATATACTAACTAATTGAACATACTTTTTAAAATTAAAATACTAAGAGGACCTTTACATGAAAGAGAGAATGAACCCATGGAAATGTTGCCTCGTAAAGTATAGTCATTTTCACAGTCAACTTGGCCAAAGAAGACAGTTTGGTTTTCATTTCAAACATGCAAACACACACAGACAGAGGCAGAGGTACCAAATCAAATTAAACCAATAATAATAATAATTTTGAATATAAACAAATCAGGCTTTTAGACATTTTGTTCTTTAGAACCAGATCCCTACCCATTGTATTAAATTCTACTTATAAGTCTTATTACCTGCAATATGCTAGGCACTGGTAGATAATGAGGATACTAACATGAATGAGGCATAGACTCAAGAGCTCACAATGAAATAAAGAAAATAGATTGAATATGACTTGCCATCATCTTATCTGGCCAATTTTTCCTGATCCCCCATCCCTAGATTGAACTAACCATCTTCTCTGCACTAAAATCTGTGCCTTGTATATAGTTTTCACTATCACACTTATCACAAAAGTGTAATTTCTTTGTTTACAGCCCAGTCTCCTTTTCTAGACTGTCAGTGAGCTCTTCGAGAGCAAGGTTTGTTTCTAATTTATTTCTGTCCCCAGTGCCTAGCATGATAACTGGCACAAGAAAGGAGCTCTTTAAATTGTTGCAGAAAAGAACCAGGTTACACTGTGATGAGTGCCAAGAGCAAACTCAGAATAAAAGTGCTATGGGGATGTCCAGGCTGTCCAGTTTTCCCAGCACAACTTGCTGAAGAGGCTTTTTTTCTCCTTTGTATATTCTTGCCTCCTTTGTCAAAGATTACCTGACCATAGGTGTATAGGTTTATTACTGGACTTTCTATTCTGTTCCATTGATACATTATCAGTTTTCGTGCCAATATCATGCTGTTTTGATTACTGTAGCTTTGTAGTATTGTCTGAAGTCTGGGACAATTATGCCTCCAGCTTTTTTTTTTTTTAATCTCCCTTGGGAATGCTTTTACAATTCTAGGTCTTTTATGGTTCTATATAAGTCTTAGGATTATTTGTTGTAGTTCTCTAAAATATATCATGGATAATTTGATAGGGATTGCATTAAATCTGTAGATTGCTTTGGGTAGTATGCTCATTTTAACAATATGAATTCTTCCAAGAGCATGGGATATCTTTCCATTTGTTTGAATCACCATTTGTTTGATTCAGTTTCTTTTAAGAGTGTTTTTAGAGTTCTCAACATATGGGTCTTTCACCTACTTGGTTTAGGTTTATTCCTAGGTATTTTATTTATTTATTTTTGACCTGAATTTTAAATGGGATTGTTTTACTTTTTCTTTCTGATATTTAATTGTAAGTGTAAAAAGATGCAGCAGATTTCTA